CCYTTWWAAATACAYGCTTTTTCATAACGAAACCCAAGCAAATTACATCCTACTTTAGTTGACGTTTTTGACTGGATCATTACTTTCCCAAACATTTAAAAGATTCCCAACAAATTAGTTCCACCAAATTTACTAAACTTTTCAGCATTTTTGGATAATTTAACAAATTTGTGGAATTAAATTCCATTATGTGGCAATTTCCACATAAATTGCTTTGCTTTTTTAAATTCTATTTTTTTTTTGTGGCCACAATCTGTCTAATGTTAATGTGACTCGTAAACTGATGATGACGTCCACCGGCCTGGCTGATGACCCCAAATTGCGATAATTGCAAATTGTGCCATACTTGTTCGTACTGGCAAATTACAGGCAACGTTTCCAACGGTTCACTCTCTACTCTGCACAACAGTCCGGTTTCGGACGTGTTGCCCAACCAGAGGAAGACCGTGCGAGAGTAAATCTCTTTCTTACACTATTTTTTCTTGCGCAGTTCAAAGACATCACAAAATCTTTGTTTGTAAAAAATAGTTAAACACTATAATAGAGGGCCATTAGTACTTTTATGAAGACATATGTGCACATGTATCTAGCTGTGTATGACGGAGCTCATACACGATTTTTAAAGTAACTCTGTCATTTAAGCAAATGACAAGAAGAAAAGATTCGTGGAGTTTTAAATCAGCGATGTTGCATAAGTTTAAGAAAATACTTGTAGTCTGTAGGAAAAGTAGTAGAATAATAGCTAACATAACATAGCGTGCCGAAAAGAGCGTCGGAAAATAATTATCACGTTAAATTTCGATATCTCCTGCCGTCCCACTCGCGACTTGGCTCCCACGTCACCAAGTCCCTGTTGACAGTCATAACTTTTCTTTGGGCCCAAAGAAAACTTTCAGCCCACTATAGCCGAAAATCCAGCCGTAATGCTGCAGCGGGTCATCGAAATTTGGCCGACATTGCGAGAAGTTGAGTATTTTTTTATTTCAGCACCACGTTGTTGTTGTAACGAGTACCTAACCTACGTTAGGATGGTAAGGATTAGATGTGTGTAAAATAATCTAACGGTAGGCCCAGAAAACGTGCTGTTTCGACAGGATCGGACCAAAAAGAAAAGAGTGTCAGATGTGTAGGGTTGGCAGGGCATGCCCAAAGAAAAGTATATGAGGGTCCATTTTCGATAAGTAGGACTTTAACCTGTTACAGTATGCAGAACGAAGCTGCAAAAGGGGCACTGGTCACGATTCTCGCGGCAACTCCAGCTCTTCGTCTGCAATGGGTGGTGGTTTGACTCCAAGTACGCCATCTGATTTCTGCGAAAGSACCCCAGTAGAGAGGAATTCATTATGCTCCTTAAYTGGGAGCATAYGTGTCTCACTGTGCAGGAGTGTTGTGAGTCGGAGACATTAAGAGGCTTGCTGTCATAATCCGGAGTGCAATGTTCTGACATGTTTGTAGCTTTCTTGTCTGCGTTYCACTGCATCCATGAGACCATATTGTTGCGGCGTAGWTAAGGTCMATTGCCTTGTATTTTACAAACAATGTTTCTTTGTCTTTTCTCCATGTGCTGCCRGCTAACGATTTGAGGAGTGAAGGAGCACAGGCTGTTGAAAGTCACACCTAAACATCATGTCTTTTTTGGTAAACCATGTACATTGGATCGGGTCGATTTACAGGGTGCCAAAAAAATGGAAAAATATGCGGGAAATGTACTACSGATCATTCTGTACAACTGTGCCTAGAAGATTATGTGTCTAAAACCTCTTTTGATCCAGTGATTTTTGAAGTTAAGTTTTTCAGAGATTTCAAAACTTTGTTCGCTTGTTTTTATGATATCCGAATGAAATTTAAWAAGTAGGAATCGGCCAGATCGGACAAATATATTCTATATTTCACATAAAACCGATTATTCAGATTTTTTAGACTTCACCTTAATAATAGCTGGTTCGAAACCGGTTTTAGACCCATAGCCTCTCAGGCAAGTTGTTCAGAATGATCCCTAGAACATTTCCGCTATATGAGATTTTATAGAAAAATAATCGAGCCGCTCTACTGCACTTATATGAAGACTTGGCTCACCCTAATATGCATTTTTTGGAAATTTTTGCACGAAATTTCAAATATTATGTTAAAGAATGTATTACTGTACGCATACTAAGTCAAATGAGCTTTCAATAAATTTACGCTGTTGTGTGCTGCAGCAATTTTCTCTACTTCTTTTTAACTTTTTAATAGCTGAACTTTTTTAATTACTAAAATAAAGTTACTGCTTGCTTCAAATAAAAGCGAATAGTTTCGTTTTGAGCTTACAGCTTCACTTTGCAAATTACTGATTAGATGTTGATTGAACTTTCGATAGAAAGCAAAGGGAGTTCCATACGAACATAATTAAAACAAGAGCGCAGGACATATGCAACAAAACTGCACTTCAGCAAAAACAAAATTAAAAAACTATATAAATAAAGAAATGCAAAGAAAATCAGCAAATATACATGCATACATACATATGTATATGGAAATAAATATTTCAGAGAAGTGTCATAGACATGAACACATATGTTTGTACTTACAGTCGCTCTACATCCGCCGATATTTTTCTCGGCACTTGCGTCAAGCTACGATGCGAACAGTCCACAGTCAGGCCATTACACGAACAAACACGCGGACAACGCGACTCACTGATCACGCCCAAACTGCCGCCGGGTATGTGTATACCCACCGACGAAGACGACCCACCATACGGTTCGGCCGTGGCAACCTGAAGGAAATCACCGCAGGCAAACAGCAACAGTAGATGGGCGAATAGTAGGAAATGTTGTACACAAAACGCAGGCCAACAGTGGCGGCTTCGACGCAGACAACGACGACGACATTGCGGTATGGGTGGTGGAATGAAACGTTTTGTGCTGCTGCTGYTGCTGAGGTGGTGGTTGGGGCGACGGCTGGCTCGTGTGCATGTTGTTGCACGGCGTGGCTGCGTGTCCGGATGATGATGACTACAGTAATCGAGMGCAACAGCCGCCGTCGTACAAGCGTCGGTGTTAAACAGTGTTTCTACACCGTTGCCGATTGCACTTTCACTGSTACAGCCACCAGCTGTACTGACACTTGCGCTTATGCTGACATCTGTAGCGCTGYCATCAACAACACTGCTGCCGACACWACSAACAACAACAACACTACCTTCGCCTCCTCCTTTAAAACGCATTGGGGAGTAGTAGCGACGTTGGGGTTGCAGGTGCGTCATTTCCGCACATTAAAATAGCGCAAGGAAGTGGAAGGGCGCGCGCGCGTTTGCTTATATGTTTGAGTGTATGTGTATAGGTGTGGGTGTTATGTGGCGCTTGCTGTTTTATGTTGTGTAGTGCTATGATTTTTTGATGTGTGGTGTTTTAATATATAAATTTTTTTTTATTACTTTTGGTGTGTGCAACAAAGCGTTTGCGTTTGGATTTTTTTCGACCACACTTTTGTTTTATTTTCTGCGCTTTTATTATTTTTGCTGCACTTTTATGATTTTCTCAACACATTTATGATTTTCTGAACACTTTTAATATTTTTTTCAAATTTAATATGTTTTCCACGCTTTTATTATTTTTTTCCACACTTTTAATATTTTTTCTTCGCTTTTATTATATTTTTCCACACTTTTATTTTTTATTTTGCACTTTTATATTACTTTGCTTTACTTTTGTATTTGTTAAATCTTCAATTAACTGCCGCATGCGGACAAGGCTTATCGCTTTGCTTGCTTGATTTTATGTTCGTTTGTTGTGCGGCAAGATGTGGCAGCAAGCTGTCGTTTATTATGTTATGTTTATTAAATTTAGCGGTTACCCAAACTTTTTTCCATGCACTTTTTATGCACAGCTGATTTTTGGGGTTTTTTTTTATATTTTCTTTCCCTTGCGCCAAATTACTTCACATACATAATTCTTATGCCGCGAGTCTGTGGCGCTCGTTACTCGTTACTTTCACGCCAGCAATTGTTTTCGTATTATTTTTGCACGTTGCAGTTGTTGTTGGCGGCCACAGTATAGCAGTTGTGCCATTTTCACCTGCTCACGCGCTAATAATTTTCGTTTTTATTTGAATATTTTCGTTTTTCTTTAATATTCTCTACTTCGTGTGTCTTTCAAATTACTTATTTACTTTAAATTTTCATTTGCGTTTGTTTCATTTATTTTAGTTATTTTCGCTTCACTCGTTTATACACGTAACTTCGTCACACCGGCATTCACGACCAATTTGCTTCGTGCACGTCTTAATGGCTTTGCCTTGCAATGAACACTGTCTGCCGCCTGTGTATGGAGAGTAGAGTTGCAATTGCTGTTATTGATGTGCACCAAAAATGAAAAAAAATACAAAAACAAAAAAAAAAAATTAACAAACACACAACACTATGCACGAGTGTGCATTTGGTGGTTGATAATTTCCTCACAGTTGGCGGTAGGCGCAGAAGACAACCAACCACTTTGCTGCGCGGAATATTTCTATTGTGTAGCGTGCCGAGGAAGAGGCATGCACTCTGCCAAAAGGGAGAACAAGAAAAAAATGTAACTAAGACTGCACCGAAGTTGTGATACCCTACACAGGTGCCTTTCTTGTAGCTTAAAAGTATAGAGGTCAGTTTGTATGGCGGCTATATGTTATAGTGGTCCGATCTAAACAATTCCTTCGGTTGTAGTGTTGCTTTGAAAAATAAAATACGTTCGTGAAGATAACTTATCAAATGAAAAAGTTTTTCATACAAAACTTGATTTGAAGCGGTCAGTTTGTATGACAGCTATATGTTATAGTGGCCCGATCTGAATAATTTCTTTGAAGTTTGTAGTGTTAATTCAGACAATAATCTGTGCCAAATTTTATGACGATATCTCGTCAAATGAAAAAGTTTTCATATAAGAACTTGATTTTGATCGGTCGGTATGACAGCTACATACTCGTATATGCTGCTTTCAGCCGATTTCCATAATATATTCGGAGATAATAGCGTTGTCTTGGATAATTATCTGTGCAAAATTTCACGAAGATACCTCGACAAATAAAAAAAGTTTTCCATACAAGAACTTGATYTGGAGCGGTCAGTTTCTCCTAAAAACTCTCTTCAGTATGGCGTATGTGTAGACAGACAGACAGACGGATACGACTAAATCGATACATACTGTATAGGTAAGATTTCCCACCTTCCCTTCTGGTTGCTACAAACTTCGTGCCAAAATTTAATATTCCCTGTGTAGGGTATAAAAATAGCAACAAAAAACAAGAAAAAATAAATAAAATGAAAGGTCAACGTTGCGCTGTGTGCTACAAATCCACAGATTGCCGACCTGTAGGTAGCGGATGTGCATTTGTATTGTAATTCAATGCGAGCAGATAATAATAAATGCACGCGCACTACGTTGCTGCTGCTGTTGCGCTGCTTCCTTACTATCTTATTGTAGCTGCGGCGACTAGTGTGTATGATTGTGTGCGTGTTATGCTGTGCATTTGCCGTGCGGTGCGGCAGCTGTTTTAGGTAGTTGTGCCACAAATCCATAAGCAAYAACAACAAGAACAACCAATTTTACTACAACGTTTATAATCCTCTGCAGCAAGTCGGGTTGCCTGCAAGTAAAGAGTGCAAAGAGAGTAACAAAGTTAATGAACATGTTGCAATAATGCCTACAAACAATTATATAAGCAAGTATGGTTGCATGTGTATATATACATATATATTTCTACGTGTACGTGTTGCATGTATGCTTGTATGTGCGTATGGATTTTATTTTACAATGCCGCATATCAGCTTGTTGCTTGTTCGCAGATAAGGTAACGAGGTATGCGTCAAATAGCCTCAGGTACGTTTGAAATTAAGTTAACCGGGCTGACAAATTCATATGTTTCACTCAAGGACCTCTTCGGCGTCGGCTGTTAGCAGACAATAAGCGTTGCCGAGTCTAAAGTGGGTGGCAAAGTGGTGGGTTGCAATTAAAAATGCACTTGTGTTTTCTTATGTGCTGTTTTTGCTTCAAGTGCCGCGCAATGTATTTGAACGTGTTTGACAAATAACGCMAATAACGGTACGGATGTACACTGGTGTGGCATATTTTACTTCGAATTGAGACGTCTTCGATTCGTCAATTTTTTTGCTGGCTATTTCTAGGACTCTGTTTTCTTTTAAGAAAARGAGCAARAAAAAACGTTAACTTCGTTTGAACGGAAACTATTGGGTAGTTGAAAAAGTATTTTCGTATTTTGTCAATAGATATCGTTGCTCCAGTGCTACCAATCACATTGTGTCATACCATATAGTGTTGAAAAGGTGAGATTTTAAGATTTATTTAACCAAAATTAAACTAAATTCGAGGAGGTTGAAAAAAAATTACAACTTTTCAAAAAAAGAGTGAAAATAATGAAAAAATTCGATATATTTTGAAATTTGTGTATAAAAAGGAGAAGAAAGCCATACAGCCACCAACGAATTTATTAAAATTTAGGGAGATGATACTGCATCAATGTAACAATGGTTCACTCGCTTCCGTTCTGAAAATTTCGAAGTGAAATATTCACCTTGCTCTAGTCGACCAATCGTTGAAAAGTCGATGAAATGGAAAAGATTGTCCTGGTCAATAGCCAAGACATCGGTAAGGAACTTAACATGCATCATCAAATGGTTTTGAGCCATTTAAAAAAGGCTGGCTACAAAAAGAAGCTCTATGTTTGGGTGCCGCATGAATTCTCTGTGAAAAATCTAATGAATCGAATTAACATCTGCGATTCTTTGCTGAAACGAAATGAAATCGAACCATTTCTGAAGCGAATGGCATGACAAGAGACGAAAAGTATCTCAAGTACGACAATAATGTGCGAAAAAGATCATGGTCCAAGCATGGTGAAGCTCAACAAATGGTCGCAAATCCAGAATTGACGCCTCGAAAGATTATGCTGAGGTTTTGGTGGGATTGGAAAGTAATCATCCACTATAAGCTTCTCCAACCTGGTTGAACGATAGTTTTACATTTTACTGTCAACAACTGATGATCGAAAAAACGGCCAGAACTCATCAACAAAAAGGGCTTCGTCCTCCATCAGGACAACGCTAAATCACACACATCTTTGATGACTCGGCAAAAACTGGGTAGTTTTCATCCATCCACCATATAGCCCTGACCTTACACCTTAGGACCACCATTTGTTTCGGTCAATGCAGAACTCCCTTAATAGAGTAAAGTTGGCTTCAAGAGAAGTCTGAGAAAATTTCCTGACGCAGTTTTTCGCTGAGACACCAGAAAAGTTTTACACTGATGGAATAATGTCTCTAGCGATAAAATGGAAAAAGTAGTCGACAAAAATGGTACATATTCGGTTCATTAAAGTTCATTATAAATATAAAAAAATAAGTTGAAGTTTGATTAGAAATACGAAAAGACTTTTTCGACTACCCAATATATATGTATTTATATTTTCTCACGGTGCCTAGTTGGAACCTATGGTCTCTAATTTAAAAAATAA